GTGGTGCTCGGAGCTCCGGCCGCGGCGGGGTTTGTCTCCCCGAGTGAGGGGACTCGCGCTTTGGGCGAGCGCAGGGCAAAAACCGTCTTTGGTTTCTCATTTCCTTGCAGGGCTCAGGGGGCACCTGTGCGCCTTGCGGGCCGTTACACGCGTAGAAATCTGTTGGCCGCGTGAGGTGAACGGCAAAAACCAGAAGACAGTAACAGCCGTGTTTTGTCAGCGGCGCAAGGAATAACACGGCGGGGTCTCTTTCGGTTAGGAGTGTGAGCGTTAGCGCTGTTCCACCTGGAAAGCGCGGTCAGCCTCGATTGTCTGACGTGAAGAGCGTTTCTAGTTGTGGCTCTAAGGTAACGTAGTTGGTTTTGAGCAAGGCAGAAGTTCTGTACGTTTTAAAAGATAATAATAAATATTTAAAGGACTCTTGGAGGCATTTGGCCCTCGGTCCGCTGTAGGATAAATTGGGCCGCTCTGGATGGCAGTTCCTCAAGTTAGGCAGCGGTGCACAAAGGCCAGAAACCGTGGCTGGAGCAGCACGGCTGGTATTGCTATTCATGCCTAACTTTATGTGTCTGCATCGCGTGGGAACTTGTGTGAGCGAGCTTAATTTTCTGAGATGATTAATGTAGTTGAGTAACTCTAGCTGTTACTTGTCTTCTTGTAATGCTCTTTTTCACCTATGTTGCGTTAACAGCAGCAAGATAATAAGCTTTTTTTATCATCGCAATCTATCTTTAAGACAGGCGAACGTCACCTGATTTTACAGGAAAAAAACAAGGTGAAAATCAGAAAAATATCACAGGTGTGGCTTGTTTGAGGACTGAAGCTAGGTTTTGCGTATCTATGGCAATGAGTCTTATTGCCCTTTCCTCAGGACGGTTTGTGTGCTCTTAAATATTTTGCCTGCTGCACTGCAGTTCTGGTTGTTTAATCTGATCTCTTGAGTGGTTTGTTTTATCAGTCGAGATCTGGGGTGTTGCGCTGCTGTTATGATCTACCTGTGCTGAGCTTATTTTGCCAAGTGGGAGCCCAGGCATCAAGAGGAGCGATTACACGCTCTTACACCATACCAGCACTTCAGAGAGATATTTGGGCAGTTTCTGCAGAGGGCAAAGTGATCCAGTAAGAGCATAAGAGGACTTTTTTCTTCCTAACGCTATTGCTATTTCAAGAGTTCTCATTTTCATCGCTGTTGGAGCCTTTTGTTGTACATGTGCGTGCAGCTATTGAGAGTTTAAAAGAACCCTTCCTGGGAAAATAAATTAAGGAAGAATTTCCTCCTCGCTTCTCTGAAGAGAAACTTAAGATCTAATTGAAAAGGCTTGGGGAAAATCAAGCAACCAAAGATTACGTATACTTTGCAAAAAACAGGGCATGTTTATGCATGGAATAACAGAATTTTTGAGAAGCATGTGATTCTATTTCTTTGACCTATTGGGTTTTTCTCCCCTAGATAGTTGGGTGTATAAATCAGCGTGCCTTCACTGCCTTCACTTCAGCAGGGCTATACCCTATCACACCAGTTACAGCTCTGGCCCATAGGAGTTGCAAAGTAGATCCAAGCAGTGAAAGTCCAAGGAACAACAATGTTTGGGAAATATTTACTGTCCTTCTTACAAACGTCTTTGTTTACCGCATTAATGATCCTGAATTAGAGAGCTGCTATTGACTATGTTGTTGTATCACAAAGAAAAAAAGTGCTGTAGCACAGAGCAAATATAAATCTCTTCTTGGAGGTTGGAAGCCACCATTAGGCCTTATTTTTTTAAAACAGTTGTACTTATTCCAGTGACCTTATCAGGAGCTGTAACTGAATTGAAATACATTTTGGCTTTTGCGGTGGTTCTGTTAGATTAATTATGTTTTCTGTACATCTTGCATGCATGCATATTCTTTAAACTATTTATTTCATTGTTACCAGGCAAAAAGCTTTACAAACAAACCCGTAAAATGCAATATGTGGAAAAAACATGGGTTTCATTTAAGTCTTCCCACTGAAGCCAGCGTGTCAGAAACTAGCAACTTGCTGCTTTCAGAAGTAGTTTCAGGGTGCAGCAGAACGATGTTTAGGGGGGCTGTTAACCTCTAACCAGCTCCCTTTTGCTTCCTGGTTTCATAAGCAGTGGTCACAGGTTCGTGATGACCCGCGGTGGTCAGTGGTGTCTTTCTCCCAGCAGGCTGTGAACCCTGCCACCTCCCGGGAGCAGCTCCAAGAGGGTTTCTGAGGGTATGAGAAAAGAGCAGAGGGGTTGTGGAGCAGCGGAGCGTGTTCCTCCTGCTGCCTTGTGCTTTTTCTGACTTTTTCCACCTTTGTGACCGTCCTGCATTGCCCCTTGGGAGCTTGTTCCGCCGGGTTAGGGCGGCGTGTTTGCAGGAGAGAGAAGTGCCGATCCTTTTGCCGTTTGGGCTGGTTGGAGCGCTGGAAAGCGAAAGAGATGGGGTGCAGCTCTGGGAATGCTCAGTTTACAGATGCGGTTGGGAGCAAAAATTAGGGTTATGAAAACCAGGGTGCCTTGTGGTCATAAATGAGGGATAGAATTAAACCTATTAATGATGTTAGTATTATTTTTCCTATTCGATTACTGGTGGTTAATTCAAGCCAACATTAACTGGCAGTTAGAACAAGATACATCCTTCTCTTTGACTCAGGATGTTTTCCTGCAATGTTTGTCATCCTCATTCCTGTTGCTGTGGATGGGAATTTCTCAAGAATCTTTTCTCATCATTAAGTGTAAATGAAGTGTAAAGAGTAAGGAGAAAAGAGCTTTCCTAATCCATTGGGGGTAAGAAGCTGCTTCCTCACCCTCACAATGAAAGCAAAATATTTGGAAATCTACTACCTAACTTTTTTTATTTTGGGGGAGGGGGGATCTTACGTATTGTTTTATATTTCTAAAACATTGTGTTCTATGCTCAACCTCATGAAACTAAAACATGAAAAGAAACTATATTCAACACCACTTCAGAAAACTAAAGATCAATTTTCTGTCCAAATGGTAACAAAAAGTGCAGTCTCCTTTTTTTCTGAGCGGGGAAAAAAAAAAAAGTGAGACTTGATTAATTTGTGGTATTTTTCATTGGAAAGACATTTCAGTAAGCCACTTCTGGGCTGATTTAATCTAGAACCAGCTGAACTAAAGAGGCGATGTTGGAATGTACCGCTCCGTTTGGCTTAGTATCAGATACTAGTGTTAGTAGAGCTCACATGGGAGAGCGTATCGAGAATTTATCGCAGATGGGGATCTTAAAAAGGAGAAAGGAGGAAATTAGCACATGCTCTGCTCATTGATTTCTTTAAGCGCTACTGATCGGTGAGCTCCGCGACGCTGGGGTCAGTTCTGCACAGAAATGAAGAAGGATATCCTGTTGGAAAACATCTAAGAAGGGCAAGCCAGGGGACAGATTAAGGGGAAGCTTTTGTGAATTTGCAGACTGGATGTAGGTATTAACCTCCAGATCTGTACTTCTTCCTGCAGCCTGCAAGCGTGCCGTGGGAGCTGTCGGGATTATGTCTCCCTGTAGCTGGTGGTCGATGGTAGGGAATAGTTGGCAGCCGTTGAGTTGGGAGCATTTTAAAGATGCCTGCTGGCATTCGTAAGGCAGAGACTGTGATATTTATCATATGTTTGTAGGAGTCTGGATGCGAGGAGTCCTTTTCTGACGGAATTTAGACAATGCTGTTTTGCACATTCCCCTCCTCAATTTCTAGCTGCTTTGGGATGTTTCAACACATGCTTTGTTCATCTTTTTCTTCTAGTTGCTACAGGAAAAATACTCAGGAAAAGTAGTATTTTTGTTTTCTTTTGTCTGGGTAAACATCTTTGAACCTGCTAGCCGTGAGGAGTGTGGGAGCGAGGAGGTTCTGCAGCAGCTGGGCAAGAAGGCTGAGATCTCAAGCAGTCCCATTGATTGGGGGGGATGACTTCTCGCAGGAGCTCATTGAGTACTCACAATCAAACCCCTAATTAAATACAAATATTTGAGGTTCTGCATAGCTCAAATTTAGAGATATTTTATATCTAGGAGAAATTTGTCTATTTCCTATGAACATAGCTGTACGCGTTCCCGTGGCACTTAACAGGGTCATTAGAAAATAAGTTTAAACCTTTAAATGCCAGTTTTAAAACGTTATTTGGGATGTTGCAAGCGTTGAGTGACTTGCGCCTTGCAGATTAGAAGATGGTTATCCTCTGCGGTGCTTGCTGCCGCAGCCTGTAATAGGAAGAGGATTCTCAAAGCTATCTCTTAAGCTTGCTATTCAAACCTGTTCACTCCAGGCTACGTATTGTATTCGACTTCCTGGTACTTTATGTTGAAGACACACTTGTCTTCTTAATCAGGCAGTTTATATCTGCCAGGATTGTATTTAATATAATGTCAAACATAATTTGGATGAGAAGTGAAAGTAGAGTTTGGTGTCATTTTCTGCCAACCGTTATTACTGTGAGAGGGAAGCGGAGCAAGCCAAGCTTAAACGGAGGCTTTAAGCAGTAACAAGCCCAATCGTCTGTTTATTTTGGCCTAATGTTCTTCCCTGGGTTACAAAGCCGTTGTAAGCGTGTGCTAAATAGCAGATGTTTAAAAACTATGCTAGATCGGGGATATCGGCTGGGAGGATCAGATCAGAGCGTCTGAAGGCCTCGGTAAGGTTGACGGCATCGTCGTGCTTTATGGGCAAGGCTAATTGGGACTTCGTGTTCCGGCGGTAGAGGTGTCGTATGCGGGTTGAGGCAGAAAAGCCACGGAGTTCTCAGGCATTGGGTTTACTGTAATAGTAGCTAGCGTCTGTCTCTCTTCCTCTGGTGGGGAAATGCAAATTGTTATTTCTGAAACCGTCAAAAAACTTCTGACCTCTCTGTTTGTTGATTGAGAAGGAGCAGTTTTGAAATATTTTTTCAAATAAAACACTCCTGCCGCCTCAAAAAATTTGTAGCTATTTCTGGATGCGTAGTTTGTCCATGTATATTATTTCAGCGGCCAAATACAGTACAAGCTTACTAACTGTCTTATTAACCACTAGGTCTGATTGTTTAACATGAGGGGAAAAAAAACCCAGAAACAAAACTGAACCAGATCCAAAAGTTTATCCCCCTGCTTTGGCACAAGGGGCTGCCTGGCGCAGCGAGCGGAGCCTGGTGTGACTGTGAAAACACGGGCTCCGTTTCAACACCAGCCTGGAAACAGTCGGCACCAAAGTGACTTGCTGTGCTCCGGTTCCCCCTTGGTACAGGAGGGGTGGGGAAAGATGCTTGTTTCCACTGTAAATCGTCGTGACCTCTGCTGTCGAAAAGTGCTTGTACAAAGAATGTTTTATTATTAAGCTGGGCCAATCATGCTGCTCATATTTCGTTACTGTTACCGTCTGTGCAACGGAATATTCGCTCTGAAGGGTTATCCCAGAGCGTAAATCTAAATCCGCGACTGTAATAAACCAAGTGTGTTTGCTGATGGCGGTTGCATTGATAGAAGTAACCTTGAGGCCTTTGCCACATCTTGTAAATTAGGAATTGGGGCGTGGATCTCCACTGAGCTCTTTTCTTAAGTGATTGATGTCGTACATGAATGAAAAGACAGCTCGTGGAAGAGGGAGAGCAAGCATTCACACATTTGTCTGTTTTTCTGGCAGGATGGAGAAAAAGAAAATTCTAATGAAATCCAAGGTTGCTGCTCCCAACCTCCTGAGGGCACTGCATTCTCTGTACCAGTTCGGTCACCTGTGTGACGTGACAGTTCACACACAGCATCTTGGAATTCAGGAGGAGTTTCTGGTTCACAAAGCTGTCTTGGCAGCTTCCAGCAACTATTTCAAGGGGCTTTTCCTGCATGATGAGATGCTGGACACCAAGAATTGCACAGTGACTCTGCAAGACATTTACACGGAAGAGTTCACCTCCTTCCTGGAGTTTGTTTACACTGCCGAAGTGGAGATTGAAGCGGAAAAACTGCAACGGATGAAAGAAATAGCTGAAAGGCTCGAATGCAAGGATTTGCTTGACATTTGTGAAGAAGTGAAAGGAGAGGGCAGGAAGGGTTTAGATTTGAGCCTCCACCTGAAAGGTCAGCTGTGTGAAAATGGTGGGCCACAGTGGACTCGCATCCAGCAAGAGGACCACCACAAACTGAGTAACTCTTCCCAAGTTGTGGCAATACCCATGCAGAGGAAACTTTGGGACAGGCAAAAACATAAGAAGTTGCTGGCTGGCTACAAAGTTGTTGAAGGCCAACCGGCAAGCCTGGAGCAAGAGGCCACTGCTTTTCCAGAACCAAAATCCAGGACAGCAAAGCTACTGAAATGTAACAAGACAGATATGGGAGACAGACTCGGCATGGATATTGATAGTCTGGAAAATGAGAATAGTCGTTCTCTCCTAAGTCAGACTGAGTCAAAGGAAGCCTGTGTGGTAACTGGGAATGCGTTGCCTGAGCAGCGGGAAGGTGAAAACAGTTTAATTTCCAAATTTGCCAGTAAAACTGAGCGTAGGAAATCGCAGCGGCACGTGGCAAAAGTCTTGCCGCAGATTGCGTGTGAGAAGTGCAACGAATCGTTCCGTGTTATCAAGCAGTACCGGTCGCACATGGAGCTCAAGCATGACATTAATCTGGCTGTCAAGTACAGCTGCGACGTCTGTGAGCAGCTCTTCTCCACTCACCAGAACCTCCGGCAGCACCGCCTCACCGTTCATAGCGACGAGCGGGGCTTCTCCTGTGTGTTCTGTGACAAGAGGTTTAAGCGCCAGAAGGACATAAAGGAGCATATCCGCAGGGTGCATGAGAAGAAGCGGGATCCCCAGGCCTGCCCATACTGCGACAAGGTCATCAGTTCCAAGTGTGGCCTGACCGTCCACATACGAACGCACACCGGGGAGAAACCGTACAAATGCGAGCGCTGCCCCGCCAGCTTTGCTCAGAGGTCTGCTTACAATTCTCATGTAAGGTACAGCATTCTCCGTGCGCGTGCGTGTGTCCCCATGCGTGCAGGAAAAACTCTCTGGGTGCCAGGATAAAAGCATTCCTGAAATCCTTGCTGCTTCAGTTCCAGAATTCCTTGGATCTGATTGGAAGTGTGTTGAAATCGGCACAGATTTTTTTCATTGCCCTCATCAAGCTCTCAGTCCGGATTGCTGGATTGAGGTCGCCCAGACTGGGAATTTAGGTGAATATTTCCCATTGAATCAAAGAGGACTTGTGCAACCAAATCTGTTAGGTGATTCTGGAAGCCTCAGATTTGGGTTTTTAAATGGGAGCCTGAAAATAATCAGCATCTGTTTAAAATGCACAAGAAAATGCCTGTTTCATAAGCATCAGGGCAGCGTGGTGCTTTTTAATATGGTTTCCATGGGCCAAATGACCTGCACACTGTTGTACTGGGTGGTGTGAGCTTCCAGATAGGCTTATTAAGCGCTGCCTGACTGAAAATAAGATGTTGAAATTGCACAGTAGTTTCCAGAACTGCAGAAGCCAGTGTGCATGTCAAATGTCTCCGTACCCTGCCTGTATGGTACTGGAGGTTGGCGATTTTCTACTGGATCTCAGCTTTCCTTTTAAAAAATGTCAAAATTTGTTTGTAGTTCAGTCCCGTAGCAGAAAAAACATTCCAGGTGTGTTGTGAGTGCCATGGCATAGCTCGTTCTGTGCACTGAGTAGCAATAAGTAGTTAAGCGCTGCAATTGATGGCTTATAAGGGGGTCTGTTTTGTTACTGCATACAGGCATTTAATCTATATTTCCCTTGGTTCTATATTTCCCTTGGTTTAAGTCCACAGTTTCTTATCCTGCCCACCATGGCCTTGGAGGAAAATTTACAGTCCATCCTATGTCACTAGTCCAATGACGAATGTGTATACTTGAAAGGCTCCATCCTTGATGAGTTGAGACGTTTTAATTTTCTCTGATTATCTGGTCCAACTCTACACAAAATTTTCCCTGTTGTTCGGCTCTCCAAACATGCTGTTAATTTCTTAAACGGTGTGAGGAACAATTAAAAGGAAACCACTCTTCCTCCAAGGCAAACATGTCTGAAGTGAAACAAGTGAACTTACTGAAGTTGTGCTCAGTTGTTTGTTTATTTTAACAGAAAAATCCATGAGTCGGGGCAAGAGAGGAAACTTATGCCTGTCTATTGGATGGTAGTTCCACCTGCGCGTAGAACAAACACAAGTTGTGACAAAGATCCCGACAGAGAGACGTGGGTTGGGACATCGGAGGCTGAGCGACAAAAGTGTGCGAGGCACGAAGAGGCCACGAGTCGTGAGGAGGAACCTGGGGGTTCATCTGTTACCGAAGTAGACTGTGGCAATGAGCAAGAAGAACGGAAGCGGAAATATAAGGAAGCTGAAGCCAGAAGTGAAAAACTGAGCAAAGAAGGGAATGGAGATGAAGGTGAAAGGAGCGTGAAGGGAGAGGAGGAGGTAGATTACGAAGGGGGGTATTCAGAGGTTGAAGACAGTAGGGATAACGAGGAGGCCTGTACTGAGGAGGACGATGAGGATGATGAATACTCTAACGAGAAGGATGGTGAAGAGCGTGAATCAGATGAAGAGTTTAAAATCAAGAAGGTAAATAAAAGTGGAGTGAATAACAAATCTGCCTACGTAATAACGTGTGATAAGTGTAACGAGCAGTTTGTTTCCCGGAAAAAGTATGTGGATCACTGCAGGGATGTCCATCAGTGCTTGCCTGGTAAAGTCTATCAGTGTGACATCTGCAGCAAGTCGTTTGCTAGTTACAACAGCTGGAAGGAGCACCGGGCATGTGTCCACACTGAGGAAAGGCAGTTTGCCTGCACCCTTTGCAATGCTACTTTTAAAAGAAAGAGGGATGTGAGGACACATTATATGCGGAAGCACGAAGGCAGGGTCAAACGCCCTCTCTGCTCTGTCTGCGGGAAGATCCTCAGCTCCCGAACAGCCCTGGTGTTTCATATGCGGACGCACACAGGAGAAAAACCTTACGAATGTGGCATTTGTCATTCAAAATTTGCTCAGCCGTCGCAACTCAAGATCCATACCAGGTCAGCCTACGGTAATGCTTCTCCCGTTACCGCTCCCTGCATGCCCAGCGTCCTTCAGCACTTCTTTCTCCCAGTTCCGAGTCATTCCCCTTGCGTGTCCTTATAACAGGAATACTGGGATATAATTTGTTCTGAAGTAGCTGTGATTAATTCTTTTACGTAAAGGCTTTGTCTGCAGCTGGACATTGTGTCAGTTTTAGTAAGGATTTTGAAACAGATGCTCTGTCCGAACTTGCAAGCAAGTGCCAGTCATTTGAGACGGTCTTCAAAATAAGATGACTGCCTCCTCTGATGGAAAGTAGCATAAGCTGAAGAATTAGTCAGGGACCTCAGAGACCCAGATGTTGAGCCCTACTCACTCTTTGTCACTCCAAGCAAGTCATTTAGTGTGGGATTTCATTTCTTGTATGCAATACAAAAGCTGGACTTCTCATCTGGGCTCCCTCTGTAGTCATTGCAGCTAGACTGGATGAATTGCTCCCTGGTGGTGTCTCTTAAATGTGTCTGCTCCCAGGAGAGGGTGAATCATGCCATGGAATTTCCCATCTTTCTGCAAACGGGGAACATGGCAGCTAGCTTGTAGGAGGGTGTTAGCTGTTGCAGGGCTAAATTAGGCAAGAGAAAACCTGTTACTAGAGGCTGTGCACCCATGCAATGGGGACAGTAGCTTTCTTCTAAGCGTTCTTACAGCGATTTAAAAAATTGTGGGGCATACTGATTCGGGACCAGCAAAACATCTGAAATGGCAAGATAATCTCTTGCCAGCTGAAGTGCAGCAGAGCTGCGCTGCGTGCAAGATGCGGTATGACTGCAACAAAACGGTGACTCATGGGTTGGGTAACTGGCTGTCTCAGGGTTGCAGCATTTTGCCTGACAACTCAAAATTAGCCCTGCTTTTCCACATCATATGGCTTGGGTCAGAATAAGGGAAGTCAGCACAGTGTTAAGACCAAACTTTAGGCTCAGACTTTCTGTGATTTGAGCTAGTTTAAAATCAGATGTCCAGCATGTGTTTGGAAACACCGCTTGCCTGACTTCCCTTAGTGCCTTTTGTCTGAAAAATGAGAATGTCCTGCCAGTTGAAGTTTGCAGGCCAGAGGACGCGAGATGGAGGGGTTGTGGAAGCCAACAATGTGGCCTACGATGTCCCAAGAGATCTGCTGCTGGCGGCGTGCTGGGGACAATCTGGATGCACTTTCAGTCTCTAGCACAGCATCCGCTTGTCATCTTCCCTGCTTTCTCCCTTCCGAGGCTGATTCTATGCACTATAACTTGTGAAAGAAAGGTGGATTTTGTAGGGCCCAAGAGTGAGGAAAAGATAAACCTTAAATGGGAATTTTAATGCTTTAGCATAGCACCTGTACTCTATTTCCTGAGTGAGCAGAATGTACTTTTTTCCACTTCATTTAAAAAATGAAGCATGCTGCCTGTAGCGTGTAGAACGTAATTTCAAATACATTATTTTAGGAACACGCTACAAGAGCTAATCTATTAATACTCATTTGTGTTTTGCTTCGTTTAGGTCCCATACAGGGGAAAAGCCATATATTTGCGAGGACTGTGGGGCTTGCTTTGCTGATAAAGGCAAACTCACCGGCCACAAAAGGACCCACACAGGTAGGCATTAAATAATTCCTTCCTTCCATCTGTTTTCTCCCATCGCCTCCCTTTATACTGCTAGAAGTTTGCTAGTTGGGATTTGAAGAAGGTGCATGTTTTGTTTGTTTTTTTTTTTTTTTAACTCAAAGAGAATTCAAGTACCGGGAAGGGACTCCTCGGGATAGAAAGACATTTGGAAACCAGCTTTGAAGTACAGAATTCTGCTGAAAGAATTCCGGGTGTCTTTTTCTGTTTACTCAGGAGAGCGCCTTTTTAAATGCGATGTCTGCGGAAAACATTTTGCCACCAATGAATACTTAAAATGCCATAAACGATGCCACATGGGTGCTAAGCCCTACAAGTGTGAGGTTTGCGGGAAGGTGTTTGGACTGAGAGCCTCGCTAGCCCAGCACAGTAACGTCCATGCAGGTAACGAAACAAACTGATCGGGGCCGGGAGAACAAAACGGCACTGGAAGCTCGGGTCTGAAGTACTTTCCGGTTTGGATGGTGATGTTTTATTCCAGAACCACACTTATTAGCTCCTTGAATTAGGTGATGAGGAGAAGCAGGGCTCATAGCAATCCTGGCTCGTTGAACAGGGCGCGATATCGGGTGGTGCTTGCCCCGAAGACTGGTTTGTGCTGCTGAAGGACGTCTGAGCAGAGCGCGGCTGTAGTCGCTGCTTATTCCCCTTGCAAGATCAGGGAGCTGTTCTCAGGTTTGCCTTTGCAGCCAAGAAACATTCATCACATAACCTTAAACACCAGGGTCTGAAGTGCCTATCTCCTATGTGCACCGCGTTACCAATATTGATCTTTCAAAAATTCTTTACACTTTTTGTCTGCTGAAATTGGGGCCAAAAGAACCTGCCTTCTAACTCTGTGCTTCCTGGTTGGGGTTTTTTTTGTTTGTTTTTAGAGACCCGTCCGTATTTTTGTGAACAGTGTGGGAAAACATTCACCCAACAGGGCGCTCTCCGTCGCCACCAGCGCATTCACACCGGGGAAAAGCCGTACAAGTGCAGAGCGTGCGAGAGGACCTTCACGGACATGTCCACCTTGCGCAGACACGTGTCGGTACGCTGCCCCTTGGCCGTCTTTGTGGCAGGCAAACCATGGTGGTGGCACTTAACTACCGGGAAAAGTTTCTTGGCTTCATGAGGGTTCACATTGGTGCTTAGGTTCTGATTTTTATCAAATAAATACATTGCAGAAGAATGAATATTAGGGTTGGGAGATTGCTCTGCCATCTGCAGACAGCTTTTAAAAACGCAGTTCTGAAGTGTGCAGAATTTTCCACCAGCAGTGCAGCAGCTCCCACTGCTGGCTGTGAAACCAGTCGTCTCCCAACTAGTTGTACCATCTTCAGGAGGAGAACCTCATCTTGGACAGAGGTTATTTAAAATGCGCGTTACTGATTGAATCCTCCTCTTCAGAAAGGAACGGTACCGCTTTTTGTGCTACTGCAGTCCCTGCAGTCTTTTAAGCCGTAACACGATGGTTTATAACATCTTCCTGCCGCAGATGAATATGGTTTTACGTGTTTCCAGCATTGTGATATGCTGAAAAAATGGATTGCTGAGCTTAGCTGTTTTCAGAGACCTTTGGGACCTTGAAGTGACTGCTAAGACAGAACAGAAGTGGGTTTTTTTCCAATTACAAGGGGTTTTTTGCCTGTATGCTAAAATTCTAACTTCTTTTGGAACTGTTGCATGACAGCGGTGCCAGAAAATCCGTGCAGAGTTGGTAAAACAGGCTTGTTCTTGTGTTTCAGAGTTCAGCTGTTGTGTTTGAGCTCAGTATCACCGACTTAACCCCGGTGTTTCTTGATTTTGCACGGGATTAAATCTTCAGTTGCTAAAGCTATTGTTAGGAAAAACTCAGAGGTAATTGTTCTCCCCCTTTTTTTTTTTTTCCCTAGATTCATGACCGGAATGCTCACTGGAGAAGCTTCTTAATAGATCTGACAACCAAAAAAGACCATAATTGGTCCAAAATAGAAACATTCTCAGAAACCTGTATGGGTGAAGACTCGGCACCAGAAATTTGGTCAGTTGACCAAGGTAAACTTTACAAACCAGAAAGCGTTGTTCTTAAAAAAGTAGAACACGTGCCATCTAGTGTTAGTGACGTGGCAGGCACCGATCGCTCCCTTTTGTACTTATAACCTCAGTTCTTGACGGAGAATGATACTGGCTGCCACATAATAATTATGGCTCCCCAGGTTATAATAGGCCTAATGATCTCGAATGCCGGTTGCGGCTGCCTCATTAAGCTCTGCAGCGCGGTGTTGTCTTCGTGCGGGTGAGCTGGAGTTACGGACGTCGCTGTCAGAGGAAAGGGGTTCGTAATCCCGGTTAAAAGTAGTTATGCGGGTGCGACTTCTAGCTGCCTGCGGAGTTTTATTTTATTTTATTTTATTTGCGAAGTCCTGGGTACATCACAGAGGGGGTCTCGTGGGGAAGGCACGTGTAAACAGAGACGGGTATGGTGCTGTCGCTGGAAATCGTTGGGGGTTTTTTAAATAAAGATGCGCTCATAACGAAGGTGGCCATCCTTCCCGTATAACTGATTCATTTGCGTAGATCTGACTGTAGAAAAACTTAGCAAATTTGGTAAGGGTGACAGTCTTACGTGGTGGTGCCGAGGGGCTGGGCCCGCTGGGCCGCGTTGCCCAGCAACGCCCGTCGCGCCGCTGACG